GGGGGGGGGGGGAGACTCGATTGAACTCTACTGCCACCCAGTGGTTTATTGGGCTTTTAGTCAAATGATAGCATTTCTAATTATCTTGCAGTTATTCTATATTTTTAGTTTAATAAATGGGAGAGGAGTGCTAAAATTTATTGCCCAATTGGGACAGTTTTAAGAGTGAAAGGGGCTCTATTAATAATCACACTGGTACAGATATAAACAAAAACTTTTGAGGACAAATCAATACGTATATTCCGTTTTTAATATAGGGTATTTTCAAGCACTAATAAAAAAATAGTACTTTCCTTTGTCTCTATTTCACATAAGTAACAAAAGAATTGCCAGAAAATTAACAATTTTTTAAGCATCTAATATGTACCAGGCACTGTTTTGGGAACTTTATAGATACCTGACTCCCACAGAATTCATGATTGTCTCTATTTTACTTAAGAGCACCTATAAACTCAATGACTTGCTAACAATCATATACCCTGTACGAAGCTGTCCGTTAAGCTCAGATCTAACTCTATAGCTATATTATATATTACTTAATCTCTACAGAGATTCAGTACCTTAACTTAATTGAGACAGAACCACTGCTATCATTGGGAGGCTAAGTATCCACTTAGAGTTTTAAAGGGCCTTTTTCTCCTAAAAGACTTAATGCTATGCAGAGGGCTTTGGTTGGTAGGAATAAAAAAAACAAAACCCTCAAAAACTTACCAAAGTTACACCAATATTATAGCTATTTTGGCAACTTTAACTGCAGAATAAACCATCACTTGAAAGCCAGTTTTATGAAATTAAAGTTTTAATTTGAAAACAGATAATAATTAGGTAACAATAATTAGGCATATTTTATAAATACTTATGTAACTGGAACATTATTAAACTGATAAAAATAAAAATTTGGGTAAGAGGTTAATCAAAGAATTTATATTCATGTACGCATAACCCATGGACAGACAATAGTGTGGTGAAAACCTGGGGAGGGGGTGGGAGCAGGGTGGAGGGGGTCAATGGGGGAAAAAGGGGGACACCTGTAATACTTTCAACAATAAAGGTAAATTTTTTAAAAAATAAAGTAAAAATTTGACAACCTTAGCCACTGCAAAACCACCATCAGTTTTGTTTTTGAAAAAAGGAAAAGGCAAGTTGATCCAGGTGATTAATATACTTTCCAAAGTAATGATTATATTTCTAAAATAATCATGATAAAAATCAATAATGGTAGAGAAAGTAAAAATGACTCAATTTTAAAAATTTATGTAGTAGCAGTTGAGAATTACATAGCATAGTGTAGTATATTACATAGAAAAATCCTTCTATTTTCATTGTATTAATACACACTTGCTATAAAAATACATTATATGTACTAAAATCCTCTACTTCAGATTTATCAAGTATAATTTTAGATAGTTAAGGTAATCAAAGGTAATACTTACCTCCTGTTTCTGTATTATAATAATAGGTATAACCATCTTCGCTTAAACCTTCTACCCAAACAGCCTTCCCTGCTGTCTAATAAGAGGAAAAAAACAGCATAGGTGGAAAACAATGGGGTTATATATTAGAGGCAGTATTAGCCACCCTTTCCTTTCCTCTTGAAACCACCCTTTCCTTTCCTCTTGAAATGGGGGTGGTGGTACTGTTCATGGCTAGGAAGCTTGGTTTGTGTTAATCGTAAGCCAATTTTCAGAAAGAGAATGTCTCACCTCTAAAGCTAGGAACAATTTTTCACAGATGGACAGGGGAGATGTGAATGGCAACTAATAATATTTGCCCTGTATGCAGTTTTTGGATAGACATCACTTTTAACTTTTACCCAGTCTTCTAACAAAAGGATTATAGGAAGAAAGGAATAAAGAGTTTGGGATGGAGGGGCTTATTTGAAGGTAAATTTGCTTAATAAAACTCCACTAAGCCCTCCAGAAGCCAATAACTTTAAAGAATAAAGCAAAGAGACTATTAAAGCACTGCAGTTACCTTTTTTAAGTTTCCTTGAAATCCTTCAGGTTTCTCCCACTGAGATGCTTAAAGCAAAATACATTGCATTTATAAAATCTTTTTGCTTAAAAAAAAAAGTTTCCAAAAAATTCAATTTGGCAAAACTGTACAAGCTATTCAATGTGTAGGTCTATAGTTAAACACTAAGGTATATAGTTAAAAACATAATTGAAAAATAAAAGGAACCAACATATATCCCAGCAGAACAATACATGTGAATGCTATGGAACCAAGGAAGGACAGAATGATTACAAGGTGCTGGTACTTCCATAAGAAATATTAGAGTCAGGCAGGGCTTCTCTTAAAGATTTCATGAAATTCAGGCTTGATAAATCTGGGAGGAATGACATACAGCCTTTTGACATCTTGGGAGGAGAGAGTGAGAAATGGAATGAATGACTCAAAAGAGGAACAAGATGAAATATGCAGGAATTAAAAACAAGTATTGCAGAGAAAGTAAATAAAGTAGGGTGGTGAAAAAGGAAGCAAGCAATAGGCACTAGAAGGGAGAAAAGACATAACAGTTTCTATATAAATTTTAAAAACATAATCCCTAGCATAGGGACAGAATGATTACAAGTCATTCTGATTATGATTATAATAATTTATGATTCATTGCTAAACTATAACAAGCACTTCATTTAAGGCGCAATGCAAACTGAATTATTATTACTATTTCTATGTAGTCTGAAACTGACTGTGATTCTAAAGATCATAATAATGACAATAATGATAGTCCACAGTTTTCTTCATGATTAACTCTTTGATCTCCTTTCCTGCCTTCCTGTCCATTCTTAACTTTTTTTGTGTGGCTTTTCTTCTATTCATTCCTTTAATATATGTACTACCTACCATGTTACTCTTTGTTCTCTTTTTTTTTCCTCTTGTGATCTTATATACTCCTAGAAATTAACATAATAACTACATTCCAGACTCATTTTATCTTCCTAACTCCCAACTCTAATCAATTAGCTACTGAAAATTGCCACACAAATATTCTAGTTACCTCAACCTCAACATATCCAAAACTGAATTACTGCTCCGCTTAAACTTACTGTTTCCCTATTTTATATTTCAGTAAAGGGCACCATCATCCTCCCAACCCTCCATGATATGGCCCCAACCTATTTTTCTAGCCTCTTATACCATGACATTGTTGAAGAACTTTATGTTTTACCTCCACCAGATAATTATTTCCCAAACTTTCAAACCTTCTTTATTCTTTTTTTTTTTTAATCCTCACCCAAGGATATGTTTTTTATTGAATTTTTAGAGAGAGGAAGGGAGGGAGGGAGGGAGGGAGGGAGGGAAAAGAGGCAGAGAAATATAAATGTGAGAGAAACATCCATTGGCTGTGTCTCCTGTATGCATCCTGACAGGCGATTGAACCTTAAACCTAGGTATGTGCCCTGACTAGGAATCAAACTTGCAACTTTTTTTTTGGTGCATGGGACGATGCTCCAACCAACTAAGCCACCCAGCCAGGGCTCAAACCGTTTTTAGAGTTATATTGTTCTACCTGTCTGAAATGCCTGCTATTCCGTCATAACAAACTACTGCAATCTTTTTCAATCAAAATACCTATGAAGTATCTGCACCATGTCAGGCACACTGTGTTAAGTGCTAGAAATACAAATGGTATGATGACATCATTCCTCACATCCTCATTTTAACTTACAGATCAGCTCGTAAGTAATTTCAGTGATAATCTCTCAGATTCACATAATCATAATTAATTCCTATTTTGGCTCCCATATAATCTTAATTACATCTCTAATACATCGTAGCTCTTTAAAATTCCTCCTTGTATCCTGCTTGTTTATTTCTGATACTAAATTTTATGTTTTTGGAGAGTAAATAAATAACAAATGTATTTATTTATGCCAGAATTTATATGGAATAAAAATCCCAAATACATTAAAAAAAATAAAAAAATGTCTTTATTGATTTGAGAGAGAAGGGAGAGGGGGGGAGAGAGATAGAAACATCAATGATGAGAAAGTCATTAACCACTGCCTCCTGCATGCTCCCCCCATATTGGGGATCGAGTCTGCAACCTGGGCATGTACCCTGATTGGGAATCAAATGGCTATCCCCTGGATCCTAGGTTGATGTACAACTGCCAAGCCATGCTGGACGGGCAATACATTTCGTTTTAAAGGAAAATAACAAGATGTTTTTGATAGTTTTACTAAGAAATACCATTGTGTGTTTTATTAGAAATTGATATCAAAAGCATTAATTGGGGAGGGGTACTTTACTAAGTAAATCAAGATAGCTACAAAGAAGAAGAAATCAGTTTCTGATTTCCAGTCTGCTTTTGGATAGAAAATCTCCTCCACAAAATATTTTATTTCAAGAACCCCTGCAATTTGCAAAGTGGATCTGAAATAACTTAATTCCATGTAAAATGCTTTACTTGCAATGTAGTTCATTGTTTTAGAAGGTTTTACTGAGAAAATATAAAGCTTTAGTTTATTTGTAGGGAACCCACTACTAAGGATTTAAACTAAGACACTGAGTCACTATTAGAAAGGTACCTCCTTAAAGGATACATACATATATATATATATTTTACCATTGTGGCAAAAATGTAAAGATACAGACTTTCACTGTTTAAATATTCCAATATTAACAAGAAGTGTAAAGACAAAATAAACTATTAGTTATTCTCTGCAATTCAATGCATACATGACTTACCTCCTGTGATAAGATCATAATAATAATGGTAACCCTCAGAAGTTATGCCTTCTACCCATCTGCCCTTTGAAGGGTCTTTTTTCTTTTTCTTCTTTTCTTTCTGCTGATTTGATGCAGAGGGGGGTGGGACAGTGCTAGGTTTTGGTGATATGCTTGGCTCTGAAATTTCTAGTGGAAAGATGAGAGAAGGGTGAAGTAGACAACATAACCCTCCCCCAGGATAAAACATTAATAATGTTATTACAATAAAAAACCTGACCCTACAGGACACCTACTATGCAAAGCTACTCTACCAATTCCAGGAGACATAGCGGCTCTACCTAATATATAGAAACAAACACCAGAAGCAGCCAAAATGTGGAGGCAAAGAAACATGTCACAAATGAAAGAACAGAATCAATCTCCAGAAAAAGAATTAAATGAAATGGAGCCAAGCAAGCTAGTAGATGCAGAGTTCAAAACAAAGGTTACAAGGATGCTCAAGGAACTCAATGAGAATGCCAAGGATATTAGTAAGACTTTTAAGGAAACTAGTGAAATCATCAATGATATAAAAAGAAACAGTCAGAAATGAACGCTACACAAACTGAAATGAATAACTTACAGGGAATCAACAGTAGAGCAGAGGATGTGAGAATCAAATCAGCAATTTGGAACATGAGGAAACAAAAAACACCCAATCAGAAGAGGAAAAAAAAAAAGAATCCAGAAATATGAAGATAGTGTAAGGAGTCTCTGGGACAACTTCAAGTGGCCCAACATTCACATGATAAGGATGCCAGAAGGAGAAGAGAGCAAGAAAGTGAAAACCTATTTGAAAAAATGATGACAGAAAACCTCCCCTACCCTGGTGAAAGAAATAGACTTACAAGTCCAGGAAGTACAGAGGGTCCCAAACAAGAGGAACCCAAAGAGGTCACAACAAGACACATCATAATTAAAATGCCAAAGGTTAAAAACAGAGAGAATCTTAAAAGCAGCAAGAAAAAAGCAGTTACCTACACGGGAGCACCCATACGACTGTCAGCTGATTTCTCAACAGAAACTTTGCAGGCCAGAAGGGAGTGGCAAGAAATATTCAAAGTGATGAAAAGCATGGAACTACAACTAAGATTGCTCTACCCAGCAAAGCTATCATTTAGAACTGAAGGTTAGATCAAGAGCCTCACAGATAAGAAAATGCTAAAGGATTTCACCATTACCAAACCAGTATTACATGAAATGTTGAAGGGTCTTCTTTAAGAAGCTAATGAACAAAAGAATCTGACAAACTAAATAGACCCAGAGACACTGAAGAATGCAACAGACTGTTGTATTTCAGAGGGAAGAGTGAAAGGTGGTGGGGAGTGCAAAGAGATTAACCAAAGTAGTTATATGCATTTATGCATAACCCATGGACACAGACAATATTGGGTTGAAGGCCGGGGAGGGGGTGGGAGCAAGGTGGAGAGGGTCAATGGGGAGAAATAAATGGGACACCTGTAATACTTTCAACAATAAATATAAATTAAAACAAACAAACAAAATACCTGTAAGATTCTTTTGGGAGCTTGACACATTATTATAAAGCTCATTTGGAAAACTAAACATGTACCAATATCCAGGAGAATTACAAAAAAGTGAAAGGGAAATCTAGTACTACCAGGTATTAAAACTTATTCTAAAACTATGTTAAAAAAGACAAATAGTGTAAAACTGATCCAGGAATAGGCAAACATGACTGAAACAGCAGATCCCTGGTATTTCCTATTAGAGGGAAAGAGAGATCATTTAATAAATGATGTTGGACTGACTGGCTATTTGGAAAAATGTTAAGCTATTTACCCCTCCCTAGTACCTCTCATGTTTTTATAGCAATATAAATTCCAGATCAAGGATATTAAGAAAACNCCCCTCCCTAGTACCTCTCATGTTTTTATAGCAATATAAATTCCAGATCAAGGATATTAAAAAAACAAAAACAAAAAAATCCCTAAAGTAAAATAATGTTAAATTTGACTACATAAATATTCAAATATTGTATATGGTAAAAATAAAAACAAATATATATCTCCAGAAAAATGACAAATATAACAAATGTGACAGAGGATTAATGTTTCTAACAAAAATCCCTTACAAATCCAATACTGTAACAGAGAAATGGTCAAAAAGTACAAAGGTAATTCAGAAAATTAATTTACCTTCAATAATATTCAAAGAAATATATATATTTTTGTATTAGATCACTAAGCAGAGAAAAGAATGACCAAATCCAGTGTTGGTCTGTCTAATCTATGGATGTGGAAAAAATAGTTAAGTTTCTATGGCTTTACTTTTTTCTAAAGGACTGGCCAGTTATTCCCAATACCTATTAATAAATTTATTTTTAGCAAAAGTATAAATCTTGGAGACATTTCTGGAGCCACCTTGGTATTAAATATAAATCTATAAAATATATTCAGACTTAGATTTGGCAATCTTACTTCTAGAAAGTAAACTTACAGGGATAAATACGAAAACAATCATACCTAAGGATGCTCACTGAAGCATTCTAACAATGGAAAACTCTAAGTGACCTAAATGTTAACTGGGAAGAAATTAGTTAAATAGATGTTGGCATTTTTCCCTTTATTAAACACTTGTTACAAGTGTCATTGTAATAAGCAATTCATACCATTATATTACTTTACTATTTAATTTTAGTAAAAATTGAAGGTCATATAGCTAGCAAGAGATAATTCTTGACTTGAAACCTGTGCTCCTAACCACTCTGCAGCCACAAAAAATGATGTATACCCTTAGTTATTCAAAAGAAAAGATGTACTAGACATATAAATGCAGGAAAAAAATAATTTCCAAAAAGACCATAGCATAAAATGTATAACTTTTTAAAAAAATTCTGAAAATTCTTTGTACTGCACTGTCATACTTTTAAAGGAATATATACCTTATTCAGAAAAACAAGGCTATAAAAATAAGAAAAATCCACTTAAATAGAAAATGCTGAGATTTATTTGCTCATAGGGCATTATGAATTCTCTCAATCCATGTAACTGATGAGATGAATTTTCAAGTACTACTCTTTAATTCTGCAGGAATGCCAACATCCTTTTCCCCCTTAAAATAAACATATAGCTTTATCTTTATGAAAATAATGCTTCCCCCATTTTATTATTTATTTATTTATTTATTTATTTATTTATTTATTTATTTTTAAAAATATATCTTTATTGACTTCAGAGAGAGGAAAGGAGAGGGAGAGAGACAGACAGAAACATCAACGATGAGAGAGTGATTGATTGAGCCCGCAACCCGGGCATGTGCCCCGACCGGGAACCGAACCCTGATTGCCTGGATCCCAGGTCGACGCTCAACCACTGAGCCACGCCCGGCCGGGCTTCCCCCATTTTAACTAATAATATCCAGGATAATATATATATATAAATTAAAAAAAAATGTTTTTATTGATTTCAGAGAGAGAGGAAGAGAGATAGAAATATCAATGAGAATCTTTGATCAGATGCCCCCTGCACGCCCCCTACTGGGGGTCGAGGCTGCAACCAGGGCATATGCCCTGACTGGAATCTGAACTGTGATCTCTTGGATCATAGGTCGATGTTCAACTACTGAACCATGGCAGCTGGGCCAGGATAATATTTTTCAAGTCTGGTTACATCTGTTTTTATTTGATGAGGGCAATGTTAGTTAACCGCTATTCTATTAAAAACTTAATTGAAAGCAGCTTTTATTAAAGAATACCATTCCATGCTGACTATTCCAACCATTATGTAAGATCAACAACTGTGACTTGCAATATGCCTGGTTTAAGGACAATGAATTTATCACAAAGAAATGATCATGAAAAGTTCCCAACTTAAAGTCTAAATTCAATGACAAGATAGATGAATGTTTTTATTTGGAACTGAGTATCCTCAAACCCTCAAATTATTTACTTTCTTGCTGGCAAAGATGTGGCGAAAAGGAAACCCTCAGACATTCTTGGTGGGAATATAAACTGGTCTAATCACTGTGGAAAACAATATGGAGGTTCCTCAAAAAATTAAAAACAGATTTATCTTACAATCCAGCAATTCTACTTCTGGATATAAACCCAAAGGAAATGAAAACAGGATCTCAAAGAGATATATGCACTCCTGTGTTTATTGTGGTATTATTCACAATAGCCAAGATATGGAAACCTAAATGCCCATCAACAGATGAATGGATTAAAAACATACAGTATATATACACAATGGAATATTATTCAGCCCTGGGAAAGGAGGATATCCTGCTATTTGTGACAATATGGATGGGACCTCAGCACACTGTGTTGAGGTAAGTCAGAAAGAGAAAGACAAGTTCTGTATCTCTCTTCTTTGGGGAATTCTAAAAAATTCAAACTTGTAAAAAACAGAGTAAAATGGTGGCTACCAGGAAATGGGAGGTAGGGGAGTAAGACTGATGCTGTTTACAGGTACAAACTTGCAATGAGTGGTAAATAAACCATAGAGATCTAATGCATAGAGCAGGGATTTTCAACTGTTGTGCCGCAAGACTTTTAAAAACATGCAAAACCTGATTAGTCAGGGGCACTGACCTCTTTTTCTTTAGATTGTCAAATAAAAAAATGACAACAGCCAACACAACAATAGCTGTCTGGTGTAAATAAATCAAAATTATACCTATGTTTTTTGTCAGATTGAAAAAAAATAGAATATATTTCTTTGTGTGCTGCAGAATTTTAGTAATTAGTTTATGTGTGCCATGAGATGAAAATGGTTGAAAATTGCTGGCATAGAGTAATAAATACAGGTAAAAATATGCACTACAATTATGTAATGTGATGAATATCACTATAATGGCAATGGTGCTACAATATATGTTTATCAAAGTAACACACTGGAGAGAGGAAACAAGATGGCGATGTAGGTAACAGCTACACCCACGGCCTTCCGCAACCACATCAAAATTACAACTAAAATACAGAACAACCACCTCTCAGAGCCTCCTGAAATCTGTCTGAACAGAAGCCCTACAACCAGGAAACTGAAGGAGCACCAAGAACTGTAGGAGGGGTGGAGACTCGGGGGGATCAGGGCTGAATTGCAGAGACACATCCACCGGACCACACCCGGTGCTGCAGTTGCAACCCGGGAGGGAATCTCAGCGGTGGGGGTTTCCCAGAGGAGTAAGGGGTCCCAACCTCACAGCAGGCCCCCAGCCCAGGGCTCCAGGGCCGAGAAGAAAGGTCCCCACAACTCCGGGCTGTGAAACCAGCGGGGACTGTCCCTGGGGGGATGCAGAGGCTGCGAGAGCCCCAGCAGCTCCTCTTAAAGGGCCAGCACACAGACTCATTCAGACAGGCTCCCTCTGAGCCCCAGCACTGGGCAGCAGCTTCAAAGGAACCTGGGATACTTGGGGAGGAATTAACCCGTCTGAAATCCAGGCGAGAGCAGTAGGGGCAGCTTTCTCCCAGGCAGAAGAGCTGGCAGAGGCCATTGCTCCTTAGGCGAGTCCTCCCCATACAGAGCAGGCAGGCAGGCACCATATTTGAATCACCAGCACCTGACTCACACCTGCCCGTCCCCACCTGCAAGCTCATCCAGGCCATTTCCAGGGGCTTTTCCATGCAAGTGGCCTCTCGAGCCTTATGCTTAGGGCTTTCCTAAAGTCTCTCAAACAAGCAGCAGCGGGCCCCATACGGCTTGATAAGTGGCCCCAGGCCTGGCACTAGTGGCATCCTGCACTGGCTCATAGCTTGGCCTCTCCTGCACACCTCCAAGCCCAGCACAAGTAGCAGCCATCTATGGATTGTTGTGTAGCTCAGGCTGGATGGCCCTGGGCAAGGCACTGGCACAGGCTGACTTTGCACCTCCCGAAGGGCCCCAGAGACAGTGCACCTGGTGGTCAGACTCAACCACACTGGGTTACAACCCTACCACATCCACGAGTGACACGACACACTCATGGGGTGCACTTGGTGAACATCAAAGCTACACTGAAGTAAATCCTGCTCCATAGAGGTGTCTCCAGCACAGCAGCTGTCTGGCTGTAGTTGCAGCTGGTCCTCACAGCTGATTGGTTTGGGGGTCAGTTCCTCCCAGTGACGCAAACAGCAATCAAGGCTCAACTACAACAGGACAGTGCACACAGCCCACATAGGGGAGCACCTAAAAGGCCCAGCTCAGGTGATTGGGGAGGCTGAGCCACTGGACCCTACAGGATACCTACTACACAAAGCCACTCTACAGATTCCAGAAGACATAGCAGCTCTACCTAATACATAGACACAAACACCAGGAAGCAGCCAAAATGCGGAGGCACAGAAACATGTCACAAAGGAAAGAACAGAAGAAATCTCTAGAAGAGGAACTAAATGAAATAGATCCAAGTAAGCTAACAGATAGAGTTCAGAATAACGGTCNTATAAGAGACAGTTATAAGGATGCTCAAGCATATTAGTAAGAGTATGACGAAAATAATTGAGAAAATTGATGACATAATAAAGCACCAA